TTCTTCAATCTCATCCATTTTCCGAGTAAGAAGAGGTTAGAGTTGTCAAAGTTTGCCGCGCAATCACTTTCCGCTGCGCTTATTAAGCGTACTTTGAGTTCGCTTCAAAACATGGCGACCGCTTAGCAAACATGTTGCAAAAGCGTAAACCGCTAAGTGGCGTTCAGCAGAAAATCTTACAACAGTTGCAAAGCAGCTTGTTCTGCTGAACGCAGCCACTGAGTCAAATCAGCCAATCGACCAACGTGATTGATCAGTTCCACGAGACCTGCGACTTGAGTTTCATAGAGAACGGCCTTTGAGTTCCACTTTTGTGGAAATACGGCTAAAACCAGCGGTTGAAACCGTCGTAAGAAACTACAATAGCATGGCCGCTCTCAGGCTTCTCTCTGGTTTGCAACACTGGTCTAGTTTTTACCGAAGCATTAATTCACACCTAATGCGGCGTAGAATCAAATTTAAGTCGATGGAAACGCGTCAAATTGCGCTGATTTCGCTTCTGTTTCGATTTATAAGGGCGATGTCCCATTGAGCGGAAATCTATAGCGGAACGGAATGTGCGGAACCGGCTCGACCAATCATAGCCATTCCGTTTTCTTTCCTTCGCTTTTTCTGTGGTTACGATTGGTCGAGTTGGTTCCGCACATTCCGTTCCGCTATAGATTTCCGCTCAATGGGACATCGCCCTAAGTACTCTATTTCCAATGGAAACGGAACATTAAATTTTATCTGTATCGGAGTGAAACCGAATTGAGGGTTTCGGTGGAAACTAGACCACTGACTGACCAGTAAAAACCGAAGCCTAAATATAGCACAGTAATAGAATAAAAACTGAGAAATGTTGTCAACGCCAAAAGGAAAAGGCGATCTATTTTTGGCTTCATCTCTTTGCGATGGACTTGAAGATAATAACATGAGGTATAAAACATAATGATAATAACATAAGTTTTCCAGAAATTTAGATTTAGCAAATTTATACTCTTAAATCTCATCGTTCCTTCTAAGGGTTTCAGCAAAGCTACTTCTGAATTCTCTTTATTTGTAAAACTTTAAAAAGTAAACTGTTTAACATGCTAGAATAAAAGGTTTCAACCGTTACAAGTTACAATCGTTATAAATATTGTATCTTGGATTTTATGAGTTAGTTGTATGATTAAAAAGATTTTTTATTTATGCTTTTATTTTAACGTGCTCTTGACCGTAGTTCGATCTTTGCGGACCACAATCTCTTCCTTTCTGAAACGGTCACTTTTCACCATCTGAAACAGTCTTGTAAATAAAGTTTTGTATTATAAGAGGTTTGTTTTTTCCCTGAATTGACTGCACTAGTTCACAGTCTATCTTTTTTTTATACATATTACGGCCGATTTCTTCATACCTCTCGATATATAGCTATCTGGATAAATTCCTCTGAGAACCAATAAGGAGGACCAATTTTCAAGGGAGATATCTTCTAGATAAAGTTATCGAAAATTTATCTAGAAATGAAAAAATTGGCTGAAAGAAAAAGATAGACTGTAAATTAGTGCAGCCAGTTCAGGAAAAAAACAAACCTAAGGTTAGGGAAAACTCATGTATTGAAAGGCAACGCGTGTATTAAACATGTTTTAAACGTGTTTTAAACGTGTGTTTTAAACATGTGTTTACATGCAATAATAGATAAATACTAGGCACATGTTGCAATATATGTTGCTTTTTAACGGCTGATTTCTTCATACCTCTCGATAGCTATCCTCTGGATAAATTCCTCTGAGAACCAATAAGGAGAACCAATTTTGGAAGATATCTTCTAGATAAAGTTATCGAAAACTTATCTAGAAGTGAAAAAATTGGCTGTAAGGAGAACCAATTTTGGGAGATATCTTCTAGATAAAGTTATCGAAAACTTATCTAGAAGTGAAAAAATTGGCTGTAAGAGTTCGAAATGAAGCCTTGGTTATGCAGATCGTAACTTATGCTTGAATCGACATTAGGATTATTTTTTATTTTTAATGAATGAACATATATATAATATTTTTATTACAATGAAATCTTAATATGTGCGAGATAACTGTTACGGTTTGCATAAATCAGACTTTTATAATAACTACAGCAGTGCAAATCGTAGATATTGGAAATGTAAAACTATATATTACAAATAAAGTTAATAGATCAATTGCATTGGACAAATGTGAATTCTCCAATTCACAAAGCACTTCGATGATTTCGATTTGCAATACTAAACGCAGTAAATTTACATATATATATATATATATATATATATAT